AAAGGAAAGGAAAGGAAAGGAAAGGAAAGGAAAGGAAAGGAAAGGAAGGGAAAAAGGAAAGGACAAGGCATGGTCACAGCAGAACTGGAAATGCCTTCCATGCAGAGACGCACTGCAGGGAGGGAGGGGAGAGCATGGACACATGATTTTTGCTGTTTGGGTCAGGTTCTCACTATGATGCCCAGGCTGGTCTTGAACTCCTGGGTTCAAATGATCCTTCCACCTCAGCCTTTGGAGTAGCTAGGACTATAGGCACACGTCACCTTGTTTGTGTATTTAAACAAGTCCTACAAAGGGTATGAAAAATAAACAACCCAGTGAGAGGAGGGAAGGACTTAAGAGAAAGAGGATATTCAAATGACAGATGCTTGAGGAGCCATCAGAACCAGAAGGAGACATCACATGTCAGCACGGAGACATCGCACGCCAGCTGTAAATCACCAGGAGCGTTTGGAGCAGGGCTGGGGGAGCTTTGTTGATACAGCCACAGTCGAGAAGCCTTGCCATTATTTATTAAGCTCTAAGGTACGCATATGTTATGTTTTGACCCAGATAGTTGGCCTTCAGATTTATACCTGACAGAAGTATGTGGGCTTGTGGCTTGGGCACTGAGAGTTATATAAAAGAGCATCTATGGCAGAGCTATTTATGATGGCCCTGAGCTATGGAAAACTCAGTGTCTATCAACAGTAGAGGGAAAACTAAGCTGACGTTCCAAATGCAAAGAAATGGAGACAAATGAATTGCACCGCAGTGGAATGAAGCCAACCACCGAGCTTTGTGAAGGAAGTCAGACACAGATAAGAACATTCTGCACGATTCTGTATGTACAGGGGCTTAACATTAAGCAAGTAAAAGTGTTTACCGATATGTGACAAACACTGAGGTGATAAAAACCACAAGGGAAAATACAGAGGCAGTTGTCTCTAGTAACAGCTAGGGTGGCGGTCATCCAGGAGTGAGCAGAGCCTGTGGTTTCTGGGAGGGCTGTGAGGGCTGTTATTCTCATGGTGGTTAATGCGGAGCTCTTGGTAATAAACACTTGGGCTATAGCTTCTGCACTGCGCACATGTTTCTGTATGGGGGTCATGACTCACACTCAAAAACAAGGTAATGGGCCAAGGAAACCAAAAGGGGCCCATGACCACGCCGAGCGCTGACACTATTCTGATCCTAAATATGTACCTGGGATTTATAATGGGAACTGTAGTCCCCGTTTGTCACCTAAATAATGCAGCCAAGAGCCAAAGTGATACAATGTCAAGATGAGAAGTGGAAAGAGTCCTTCCTGCATCATTCCCTTCAATTTTGTGACTTTCCAGTTCCCTGGAGATTTGAGAGTTTTATAGGCATCCATCAGTACAAGTCAGCAAGTCAGCTTTGATTTAAGAATCTGACTTATGGGGCGATCTTGGAAAACAGACAGCTGGGAAGGGGCTAAGCTGCCCGGGTTTGCAGAGTTGGTCAGCGCTGCCATTGTTTCTGCCTACTGCAAAGGAGAGAACATCAGCAGCAGTGGTTTCAAACAACATCCTCTGACATGCTCATTAAGGAGAGTCCTCACAGATATTTCCAAGAATTCCTTCAAGTTATTGTAGCTGAATGCAAGATGGGTTTTCTTCCTTTGAGGCAATACCCTTTGCTGCCCATGGGCCAGGGCTGAACCTCCAGGCTACAGCAACCCTTGATCACTATAAGCCATCACTGAAGAGATGGCCATTGCAATGGAAAATTTTACAAGAAATATTAGAGTTCATGAGGCTTGCTTTCTGGAAATAAGCACCTATGAGGCTATTGGAGACTGGAGTCAGCTTGTTTTGGTTTATTCAAGAATATTATGGACATCTAAGCTGTTGCTGTAAAAGTCAAACCCAATACACATATATCTTGAAATTGATAGTGGCAGATTGGTTGAACTAAAACATTATTGGTCATCTCAGTTCTTCATATACCTTATAAATGTAAATAATTTTGAGATAGGAACTTTCTATATGGTTTTGGTTTGCCTGGTTAGTTAGGGTTTCTTTTGCTGTGATGAAACACCATGACCAAAAGCAAGCTGAGTAGGAAAGGGTTTATTTAGCTTACATTCCACATTGTAATCCATCGTTGAAGGAAGACTGGACAGGAACTTAAACAGGGCAGGATCCTAAAGGCAGGGGCTTCTGCTTACTGGCTTCCTCTTCATGGCTTGTTCAGCCTGGACCATCAGCCCAGGATCATCAGACAGGGAGTGTACCATCCACAATGGGCTGGGTCTGCCCCCATCAACCATTAATCAAGAAAATGCCCTACAGGCTTGCCTACAGCCTGACCTTATTGAGGTATTTCCTTCCTTCCTTCCTTCCTTCCTTCCTTCCTTCCTTCCTTCCTTCCTTCCTTCCTTCCTTCCTTCCTTCCTTCCTTCCTTCCTTCCCTCCTTCCTTTGTCTTCCTTCCTTCCTTTCCTAATTTCAGTTTATTTACTTTACATCCCAAGCATGCTCCTCCCTCATCTCCTCCCATCCCTCCTCCTCTTCTTTCCTGTTCCCTTTTCCATTCCCCCCCAAAAGGGGAGCCCCCCCCATATTAATCCTCCCCAGCACATCAAGTCACATCAGGACTGAGCATATTTTCATTCCCTGAGGCCATGCAAGGTAGCCCTGCCAGGAGGAAGTGATCCAAAAGCAGGCAATAGAGTCTATGTTAGAACCCCCCCTCCACTCAGCAGGCACCCCATATGAAGTCCACGCCAGCCAGCAGCCACATGTGTGCAGGGGGCCTAAGTACAGACCATGCATGCTCCTTAGCTGATGTCTCAGTTGGAGGCATTGTCAATTAATTGAGGCTCTCTCCTCTCAGGTGACGTTAGCTTGTTTCAAGCTGGCACTTGCGTAGTAGTTTAGGTAGGCCTCTAACTTGTGACAGTTCTGCTTTAGCTCCTTGAGTGTGGGCACTATAGGCTTGAAACCACTATTTGCGTCATCAAAATAAACTTTAGGCGCAGCTTCAATATAATACACATTTATTAAGCACCTACCAAGTGGCAGTGTGACAGTTTGAATGGGAAACATCCTCCATAGACCCCATACTTGGTCCCCAGTTGATGACACTGTTTGGGAAGACCATGAGAAAGTGGAGCCTAGCTGGAGGAAATACATTACTTGGGGGCAGGCTTCGGGAGCTTATAGCCTCATCTCCTTTCCCATTCACTTTCTTGTGTAGGTTGTGGTTAAAGATGTGATCTCTCAGCTCCTGCTGCCATGCTTCCCTGCCACAATGGAATCATAAAACAAAGTAAACCCTGTCTCCTTGGTCATTGGTATTTTGTCATGACACCAGAAAAGTGAGCAATATGAACAATTACTGTGGACAATAATAAATTAGGCCTCTATGAGTATAACATATAAAGAAAGAACATGCACACACACACACAATTAATCACAGGTTCAGTTTCTCAGTACAACATTCTCTACTCTAATCCTTACTTACAATAATGACCTTGTAAGTGGTTATTATTTTCCTTTTGGATAAAAGTAGAACCAGGGAGGTCAAGTTATATGCCCAAGGTCACAGAACTAACTGTGGAAAAGCGAAGTCCAGTTTTACTCCATGTCTCCCAAGTCATGATAGATATTTGGGCATGCACACCTCTTATTAAATTCTGTACTTGCTTTGAAAGACTTAAGTTCTTTATGTATAAATATCTTCCTAAACAGAAAACACAGCTAAATCTCCTGTACCACAAAATGAGGAAATGGCTTGTCCATTGTACAGGAGAGAGTGAGTTCTGTGATTGGAGCAAGTAGGGCCTACTTCCTGGTGTGTTTCTTTGAAATACTGGCAAAGGGGAAGTCCAAGGTGGAGGGAGGGTGGGCAGATTCTTCAGGTGCCCAGGAGTGGGGAGTTGAGCTCCTACCTTTTGATTGATCTTCATGGTCTCTTCCGTGTGATAGAGGAGGAGCCTCTCCCCTGAAGATGTCAGGTTCACGTACACCTGCAGGCAAGGGTACTGAGAGAGCTTCCAGCAGTCGGGCCCACAGCTGAAGGAACAGTTAAATGTTTCTGTGATTGACACGTTCAGCAGGGCGCACTGGGCTTCTTCTGTCCACACACTGCAGAGAAGGGGCAAAAATGAGCACAGAGCAGGGAGCTGCTGGGCAGGAAGGGGGGATTGCTGAACTGCAGGGGTCTCCCCAAAATCTATGATCCAAAGGTCTGTGTAAAGTTTATGACTTTGAACATACTAGATTTAGGCATGCTGTGACACAGCAAAAAACTTTGGTGCCTGAGAACTTTCTCAGTGATATCCACTGTATAGAATATTTACTAATATTTTAAGAGATCATTTTTTTTCCTTTTTCAATTCACTGGTACGCATAATGCAAGCTCTAGTTTTAGTTTTCATTTTTTGAGACAGGGTCTCACCATGCGAGCTAGAACAGCCTCAGACTTGCTCTGTAGCCTGGGCTAGCAGCAAAGTTGTAATTCTGATGACCAGTGCACGTCACCTGTCCTCCATAGCCTCCATCCTCCCTGTATTTCTGCATTGCACAGCTTCTTCCTCAGTCCCTTCACACAGAGCTCCACCTCGGCCAGTTTGTAGGTAGAAAGTCTTTATTAAGGGAGGGGGTGGGGGAAAGGCAGCAAAAAGGCAGAGTAGCTCAGGGTTGGACTTGACAAGACAGAGGGAGAGCAATAAGGTCATTCTAACACCGGAAATGAGATAAAGGCAGCCCTTTGAAGATATCAAGAGCAACGGCTAATTATATCCTTTCTCCCTAACTGGCGATTTACATAAATTATTTCCTTTCATCCTCTCAACAACCTTATACACTGGTTATTAATCCCTTTGAAAGGTGAGTGTCTTGAGGGTCACAGAAATCAGGTGACATAGTCAAGAACACACAGTTGATAAGTGATGGAAACTGAGACTTTACCTCGTCCAGTCACTCTCATTCTCTAAGTTTGAGCTTCACTCTGTCATGCTGTGCCTCCCTAGTTAATCAACACCAGGAAAACGCTTCTGGGCAGACAAAGAGGTCAGTCAGACTTCCCTGGGCCATGTCAGCCAGAGAGATTCCAGCTAACCATTGGTCAAATTTTATTTTACGGTAACTTTCATTTTGTGATTAAGTTGAGCATTTGCAATTAGGAACTAACATGCTAGCAATCGATGCTTTGCCTCTGGGTATAAGCTGTACCGCAGTGAGCGGGAAAACACGTGTTCAGCAGGAATAACAGCCCTGCCCTTCTGCTGGACATTCTCGGGTAGCTGCTGTAATTCTGCATGTGTCAGATGCAGGCTGCCAGACTCAGTCTCCTCCGAGGTAGCAAGCTGAGTTTTCTGGCACATGGATGGTCAGAATTTGCTTTTACCACCAGGCGGGGGGGTGGTGGTGGTGGTGGTGGTGGTGGGTGGGTGGTTGTCTTAGATCTAAGCAGGTGTGGGAATCTGAAAGAGGCTTTGGACTCAGTAAACACTTGGGGCCTGAGGCACCAGCGCTTTCATTGTGGGAGCGAGTACAGCTGAAGGCCATCAGAGACAGAGCGGACCGGCCAGGATGTGAAAGAAGAGCAAATTGCTGCATTTCAGCTCGACTTCGCTTCTGAAACGAAAGCATTAATTTAGCTGGAGAAACAAGTGCCACAAAAATGGTTTGATTTTTTTTCTTCTCTTGGATTGAAACCTCCCACTTTCATATGAAAGGGTCTTATTTCTTCAAGCCCCCAAACTGGCAGACCTACCAAGCTTCAGGATTTAGTGTCTGGATGGCAGTGAGGGAGGGACCCTGCCAGGATTTGTCAGGTAGCTCACGCCAGGGGTTGTTTTTAGTGCCATCACCTAGTGCCTCCCTCCCTAGCCAGAAAACCCAAGGTAAGCACTGAAAGAAAAGGACTCAAAATCAGCTACTTGAAGAGATTGCCATCACTTTTTTTCAAGCTTCACAACGCAGTAAAGCCACTTAGAGAGTTTCAGAATACTGAGAACTGAGTCTGGCTTCAAACTAATTAATTCCGACTTCTTTGGTGTGAACATATGAAAGTTTTCAAGGAAGCGGGGTGACGGAGATGTAGGGCAGGTGAAAAGGCAATGACAGACTTAAAGAATAGGAGGATCAGGACTCTCGGATTCGTGGGATGTGGCTTTGAAATTTTAACTGCCACATGCTTTGAAATCTCAGTGCTTTGCCGCACTGAGCTGAGCGAATCATGTGGGTATTCGGGCACTTGTGTGTAGGACACACGTGCATGTTCAGGTTTATGTGCCTGTGTGCACAGGTACGCTTTTATGTGTACATGTTCATGCGTGTGCAGCTGCATGTGTATGGGTATGTATACATGTTCATGTAAGTATGTTTCCGTATACATTTGCTTGTGACAGAGGATGGTCTCAGGCGTCATTTCTCAGATGTTGTCTACATTGCTTTTTTTGAGACAGGGTCTCTCAGTGGCCTGTGGCTCAGCAGTTAGGCTAGAATTGCTGGCCAGTGAGCTACAGAGACTGTCTCCAGTGCTGGCCGTTTCTGGGCTTTTAATGTGGGTTCTAGGTTTGGAACTCAGTTCTCCTGATTGTGCAGCAAGCTTGCTCTGGAGAACCATCTCCTAAGCACCTAAGCATGGTTTGGGCTTCGGCGTCTGTACATGGATGAGTATGTCTGCTCACCATATGGAGCAGTTGTGAGAAAGCAATGAGCAGATTATGAAAGGTGTCCAGCTCATAGTAGACAGTTTACACATAGTCTGGGCTTGTTGTTATTATTGTCGGATAATAACTATAATAACCTGGCACTGTGTAGCAGGTGCCTCTGCCACTTGTGAGGAGAGGTGAGAAAGATGACTTTTGGGTGGAGTGAGCAATGGGGGAGCAGAGAAGGAGGTGGCAGTGGACTCCTTTGCGCCCGGGGCATTACCTCTGCATGTAGGAGCGCAGCAGCGTAATTCCCAGCAGGAAGTACATCATGATAGAGCACACCATCATGGCCAGTCCCAGCAAGATGGCCCTGTCCTCTCCGGCCTTCAGTGCTGTCACAGTTTTCCTCTTGTCCAGGAGGTCATGGTCCCTGATTTTCTGGTAGATATTTCTGAGGTTGAGAATAACACAGTCTTACATGAGACTTGCAGTGATCCTGCCTGTCCTTTGGGGGTGGCTACATTCCTGTCCCTACCATCCTGGGGTGAAGGACCAATAGGGTTGCTCCAAACACACCCGAGTCTGGGAACAACCCCTGTCTCCCAATACATTTTACATACACACACACACACACACACACACACACACACACACACACACACTCTCGCGTACAGGCACACGCATAGGCACATGCACACACATGCACGCACACATTATAACACAGAAAAAAAGAACACAGATGTACACATGCGCATCATCCCTGGGCATAAACGATCCCTGTTTTGGGGATTCATCTCTAACTGTCAAGTGATTTTCCTCTGTACAGTTCTAAGAAAGACAGCAATTTCCTCAACCCCCAAAGGCTATGGGTTTGTTGGCTTTACATTAATGAAGTTGATCATCATTGGTGTAAACTTTCTGAACCTACTCATATCTGTGCTTCTGTGTGTGTGTGTGTGTGTGTGTGTGTGTGTGTGTGTGTGTGCGTTTACAAATCACCTCATTCTGTTTATTTTCACTGCCAGAGGCCTGGAATGACACCGTGTCTTATTATTTTCTAGTTCATGCCCTGGGCTTTTGGACTAGATGGCCATCCTGCTTTTGCCTTCCGCAGACCAGCAGTCACTTGTCCTCTCTGTTTCATGATTCATTTTTTGAGATTTCTTTCAAAATTGTAGGAATTTACATCAAAACTCTTTAAAGTTGACCCTGTGTGAACCTGAAGAACAAACCGGTGCCCATTAGCAGGGAAAGGCAGTGGATGGGCAGACTTTTGAAGCAGGGAAAATGGGCGAAGGCTGAGTGGCTTCAAAAGCCCACTGGAAAATAATAACCTGATGTTACTGGGCTAATCTCATTTATCAACGCGTGTTTAACTCTGATGGCTGATGCTGAGTTCTGCGTTCCGCAGATGGAAGCCAGCCAGGATGATGCATGCCATTCTAGGTTATTAGGTTACCATACAGTGTTGACTATGCCAGCCTGCCATAAAATAGACTGGGTGTTATCAGTTGCCACCAGAACCAGAAACACATAAACGGATTCAACTGAGTCATCTCAAACATATTTGAAAAATGGATGTTCTTTGTACGCTCTAGAATGGGTAAGAAAAGGAGGATTTGGTTTCCACATAGCTCATAGGCATCTAGGAAATCAATATGTTACATGGTAAAGTAAAAGTCTTCAGTGGGAGGGATACAGCTATGAAAGCCACCAAAAAATGGCTGTTGAATTCATGGATAAATGAGGAGTGTTAATGTGACTTGGAGGAATGAAATCCTGATAAGGAGGTTGGGTCCACACATGATTGTGAGTGCTGTGACCTCATGTACTGGGGGCATGGTCCCTGTTAAATAAGAAGAAGGATAGGAAAATTAGTGTCAACTGAGGGTGGTGAGTTCCCTGGTCGATCAACTCATAATGTCTTGGCAATTTCCACAGTTTGAGGGACCAGGACAGAGAGTCAGTTTAAGTTAGGAAAGGCTTTCTGGAAGCATAATGTCTTGAGCGGAGCCTTCAAGGTTGATTGGAGTTAAGCTAATGGGACACAGAATTAGTGATGTTCGGCTGGAGGGATCATGGATGTAAAGGGGTAAGGTGTCGTACAGTGAGTACCAGGAAGGACTATGCTAGTGGTCGTGGGAGCGCGTACACCATGGAAGCAGGGCAGCTGGATGAAAAATGTGGAGTCAGGAAGGCTTTGAAAGTCATCCTAGAGAGTAGCCTTCCTCCTGTAATTAAAGGGGAGCTGTCAGCAGTGATGTGACCAGAATTGGGTTTCGAAGTGATCGCTGTGCCTGCAGTGTGGAGATTAGAAACAGAAATAGTCTTAAATTAGAGAGGGAGAGAGAAGGAAGGGAGAGAAAGAAAGGAGGAGGAGGAGAAGGAAGAGGAGGAGGAGGAGGAGGAGGAGGAGGAGGAGGAGGAGGAGGAGGAAATTGGAAGATGGGTCCAGTAATGTTGGCAAAGGATGATGAGGGCCGCATTGCATCTTGGCTGAAGATAGGCCGGAGAGAAGAGGTGACATATGGAGAAATGTGCAGGAGATGAAGCCTCGGGATGCAGTGACTGATAAAATGTAGAGAACGAGGAGGGAGTGAGGGAAGCAGGCAACTGAGCTCTGTGCTGTAGTATTGCTGTGTGTGGTGGGGAAGTGGGAAGAGCTGGAAGACCCACCTGTCTTCTGGAAGTTCCTGAATATACAGGACAGCAGAAGCCTTCACAGGGGGTGGGGGAGATGGCTCAGGAGCTGAGTGTGTTGGCACCTAAGCCTGATAACCTGAGTTTTTCCCTGGGGCCCGCATGGTAGGAGAGAAGTGACTGCAGAAAGTTATCCCATGACCTTTATGCTGAGCGCATGTGTACAATAAACAAACAAACAAAATACAAACAAACTATATACATACATACATACATATATATTTTTATTTAAAAAGTCTCTGGAGGGCTGAAGAGGTGGCTCAGTGGCTGAAAGCTGCTATTCCAAAGGACCTTGGTCCAGTTCCCAATACTCACATGACAGCTCACAACCTTCTCAGCTCCAGTTCCAGAGACTCTGATGCCCTGACAGACAACAGGCATGCACATAATGTGCAGCTTCACATGTGGTCAAAATACCCACACGTGTAAAGGAAAGAAATAACCTAATCTAAATATGAGGCCTTGTAAGCAGAAGATTTTCTGTTTTCCAGGAAACCTTTGTTTTACCCCAAACAATAGTCAGTACGCTTACAAAAAGTTTCAAGTTCAATGTCTGCAACCTTTTTTTTTTTGAAATTTCATGTCTAGACTTAGCTTAAAATTCACAAGCAATTAGCTACAAAATACTCAGTTGTACGAGTGGTTACACAGAGTGAAAAAACTACAGGAAAGATGCTCTTGGCCTTTGCTGATTTAACTTCAGATTCCTTTGGTATTTGTCATATGGGGAGAAAAGTATTCAGGAGCAGGCATGGCAGACGCCATCTATGGATTTGTTTGTTATTTGTCCGTATTTTGCTTTTGAGTCTGCTAATTCTTTGTGTGTATATACACATGTGTGCATGCATTCGAAGGCCAGAGGTCAACCTTGGCCGCTGTTGCTCAGGTGCAATCTGCCCTGTTGTTTGAGACAAGGTCTTTCACTGGCCTGGAATTTAATAAGTAGATTAGGTTAGTCAGTCAGTGAGCCCCATTTGATTATTGGGTGGTTTAGCAATGGGGCTTGGTCTCCAGGTCTTATTTGTTGACATTTCTAAGTTTTCATAAGATGAATCACCATGAGGTGGCACGATGGTCTTTCTGGGCAGCAGTGATCACACCTGGTAATTATGCTGACTGCACAGTCCAGAAGGGAAGCAAGCCAGTCCCTGGGGGGCCCCAGAGGGTTCTGTGAACAGAATCTACCCATTTTAGCAACTTGCAGGCTTTCACAAAGAGTTGCTTTAAGCAGACTTTTTTTTAAACATAGTAAGTGGATATGAACATATTTTCTCCCCTATGTGTTAATGGCACATTTTGATATGTTTCATCGTGAGGTATACTGTAATGAAGATGTCCTTCTCAGCAGTATGTTAAGACTGGTTTGATTTTTAATAAAGGGCTGAGCTTCTGAGCCCCTTTATAAATATACTCTCATAAACATACTCATGTGTATGTATATAAATATGTTGTTCTAAGAGACGTAATAACAATTTCACATTCCTATGGGAGCTCATATAGTTTTAATTGATTTATTTTTAAATCCTTTCTGAGGAGCTGTTTTAGTTAGTGTTACTATTGTTTAGGTTGCTAAAACACTATGAGCAAAAGCAAATTGGGGAAAAAAGTGTTTCTTTTTCGTTTTGTTTTGTTTGGAGGGGCTTACATTTCCACATCAGAGTCCATCACTGAAAAAGTCAGGACAGGAACTCAAGCAGGGCTGGGTTATAGAGGCAGGAGTTAACGCAGAGGCCATGGAGAAGTGCTTCGTACTGGCTTGTTCCTCATGGCTTGCTCATCCTGCTTTCTTATAGAACCCCAGACCACCTGCCCAGGAATGGCACTACCCACAACGGGCTGGGCCCTCCCTCATCAATCACTAATTAAGAAAATGCCCCTCAGCTGGATCTTATGGAGACTTTTTTTTTTTTTTCAAATGAGGCTCCCTTCTGTCGGATAACTCTAGCTGTGTCAAGTTTACATAAGGCCAGCTAGCCCAGGAACATTGCTGTTCTCCTGATGTCTTGGCTCTGCTGGAGTCTTCTTCCCAGTTTCACATCACAACCATCATCACCACCAAAGATTAGTTAACCTTATCAGTTAACCAAAGTTTGCTTCTTTTCTGTATTCAAAAAGCCCGGAGTAATTGACTTGGTGTGTGTGTGTGTGTGTGTGTGTGTGTGTGTGTGTGTGCATGTGTGTACATGAGTACAGGTGTCAGAGGAGGCCAAAGGCACAGGACCCTCTGGGAATTTGAGTTGTGCACAGTTGTGAGCCACGTGACCTGGATGCTGGGAACTGAACTTGGCCCCTCTGCAGGAACAGCAAGTGCTCTCACTGAGCAATCGCTACAGTCCTGGAGGGGGGCGGTTTAATGGGTCTTTGAAGATTCAACAATTTATTTAGATGGGTTTTATTTTTTCCCCATGGAATCATTAAATAAGTGCTTAGCTTGTCTCTGTTCTGGTCCTGTTTCTGCAACAGGAAGGCTCTGTGTGAGAACAGCAGGACCCTCTGTAGGGGAGCCATTTGCTGAGGAGGAGAAATTGACAAAATGTGCAGCCTAGCCAGCTGATCTAGAAAGTTCGGCCCTGGGAGCAGAGCAGGGGACAGAAAGAGCAGGAAACACAGAGGAGACCCCAGATAGTGTCTGGAAGACCCCAGATAGTGTCTGGAACAAAGACAGAGAAAGACAGCAGAAATGAGAAAGAACAGTGACTACAGAATTTGAGGTACAGGAGACCCGAATGAAGCGCCTCATTAAACATGCCT